TATTTATGGATTCGGGCCCATTAACTTATTATGCATATGCATTCAAAATACAGTTCATATATTTAAAATGGACTTTCATTATTTAAATTACAACCCAACTGGCCAACTGGTAATACATTGCGGACTCTACTTTGTATTTACATGTTATTCTATCATTAACAAGTCTTCTACATACGTTGTCTCAACTCCACAAGCCCTTTTTTTCTTTCTTTTTTATTACCTGGAAAAAAAATAGTAGGGCGAGGGTGAGCGCCACAACTCAATGAGTAGGGTTAGATTAACCTCTCACCGCACACAATCAACAGATGCCTAAATATTTTTTTATCTAGTTACCGTTTAATTAATATGAATCATGCAGTTTGTCACACAAATGGCTAATACAACAGCAATCAACAAGTATCATCACTTTCCAATATAATCACATCACGTTGGAAATTAGTCGTGGCAACCAACTGAAACCCCAAGAGCCGTCTCACACATGGCTTCCGCCCTCTCATACAATGTTGCACCAGGGAGCCGATCCCATACGGCCAATGGTCTTATCCTCACTGACCAGGTCCTCTCATTGTTTTTTACCATTTTCTGCTCTTTTCTTTTCCATAAAAAAAACCACAGGAGGCAACTCGGTGGTCTCCCATCCAATCTAGATCATCAGTCTGCACAACAAGGGGCCCACCCTGCACGGGCTACAATTCAAATCTAGATTATCAGGGTGCGCAACAACAAGACCATCCTGTGGTTCTATATAATTGCCAATATCAATCAGGTGCAACACGGGGGCGCGATCTCCCATTTTCCGCGGCCGAACGGTCAAAGCATTTCAATATCATATCATATTCAGGATCCATCTCAACATGACGCGTCCCTCCACAAACCATGTGGCCCCACTTCCATGCCCAATTCCACACAAACAAGCACAGTATATAACATCAGAGCACAAAGTAAATCAATAATTTATTTAAATATCAACAATTAGTGCAGGCTACCAATAATGGCAATTCACAAATTAATGCATGATAGCATTTAGGTGATTGCATGAATGCCGGCGGATGAAATAGTTTATCCTAACCTACTCACAGTTCCTTTATTGTCCTTTAAAAGGAACCTGCCTTTTTAGGCCACAATGCTTCAGCTTTTTGTCCTCGTATTTTATAAACCTTTAAAATAAACAAGAAAATTCTAAATAAGAATTTTAATTCAAAAACTTATATTTCACATTCGTTTATTTATTTTGGCTACCAGTCATTTAATTCACTTGTTATATAGCATATATATTTAGGTTCTCTCATTTATATAAATAACTATTCTAATTTATAACCTTTAGATAAAATCTCTAATTATTCGGTGAGAAATATTGTATAATGATAATTCTAATATTGTATAATATTTCTTAATACTTCAAATTTTTGTCGTCACTACTTCTTAAGAATATAACTAATTTAATTCTTCATTAAGTTTAAAGTGTTTTATTAAAAATTCGGGCAACATTCTTCGCTCTATAAATGGACTATCCAAATTTTTCATATTTTTCACAAATCCCACACACGCAGCACATCCATCGGAGCTAAATTCAATATGCACTAATCTTTCGTCCGCGCATAGGTTTTTTTTTTTTTTTTTTGGAGAACAAATAATTACATCAACTTGATTAGATTGACGAAATTATTTTATTTAACTATATTAAATGAGAGATAACATATTAAAGTTCACATATTAAACGTTATAATTATTATGACTAGAGATTTTTCAAATTTAGTTAATTCAATAAGTTAATATCTTGTTATTCAATTTAGTCTATTTAATAACTCGATTAAATTCATTAGTCAATTAATTCTTTATATATATAAAAATTAAGAATTTAATCTTAGAACATACCCATTGGGAATCGGGCGACAATTCCATGATCAGCGCGAAGAGAAGAGGATTCTGTCTCTCGGGGCCTCGCCGGAGTGCCGCCGTCCGGTCACCGGACCGCCGCCGCCGACCGCCATGCACGGTGGTCGGAAATTCAAATCATCACCAAAATTAACAAACAATCTATCATTTTATTTGTTTCGATGAGAGGATCATTAATATGTATTCAAATCAAGGTGGGTACGAACTATTTGGCCGGAAATTGATCGGAAAGGTTCGGTGATACCCATTTTGGATTGGGTTTGGAGTGGATATGAGTTCAGGTGGGCGAGTAGTGGATCATTTAAATTAATTTAACTCCAAGCTACTTAATATTCTTGTATAATCTTTTTTTTTTTTAAATCTTGTATAAAATATACGTACAATATATATATACCGATAACTATAATAATTTATAATTTAAATATTTATTAATGAATAAAATATTATTGGAAGTAATATAATCTTATGAATAAGTAAACTTTTAATAAAATTATGTCAATTAAATTATAATATTTTAATAAATTGAATTTAGTTTTTTTTTTTCATAAAATATATTAAACAAAATCATATATTTAGTATTCATGTCGTGTTTTAATAATTTAATTGAATATTTTATTGTTTGGTAATTATGAAATTTATTAAACATAAAAAAAGTTTTTAATTGAATAGAATGTTAATAATGTTATAATTAAAATTTTTTAAAGCTACTTATCAACATCAATATTAAACTTTTAATGATAATTATAATTCTATCTTAATTTGAAATATAACTCGTGTGAAATGTGAAATCTAGATAGACTTTTAGTAAATTATAATATAACTCATATAAAATATCACTAATAAATTTATAGACATAATTACAATTAGATATTAGTAAATATCTTTTTATTTTTTTATTAGTATCATTATATATACTAGTATACTTAAACTTAGAAGTCTACTGTATATATGTCACGACCCATTTTATTTCATCGAAATTTCTGAACGTTCTGTTTTTGGGCTTGGGCTCAATTCAAATTTGGGCTCAAGTTAGAAATGCTCGGTCTTCACGACCCATACTATAAAAAAAATTCGAATTTTTGATTTAATAAAAAATTCTAAAGTTTTGAAAATAAAAATTCGGGATATTACAATCTCCCCCCCTTAAGACAATTCGTCCTCGAATGAATTGAATCTAAAAAAAAAAAAAAAAACTAAAGAACAATTTAATCAATTTGATTCAATTGAACTTTTTACAAATCGCAATATAATCTAATCAATTTAATTTTTTACAAACGTAACTAACCTAATCATAGTTTTTCGTTTTTATGTTTTTTCTTTCTAGCGACGGAGAAGATTAAATTTTTAGTGTTCGTATTTAAATCTTTGGAGAAATAGATACTTATTCTTGAATATGTGGCTTCACAAAATATTTTTCCAAGGACAAAATAAAATATTATACGATATATTTATTATATAGTTTTCGAATAATATCTATACTTAAATTAATATATACTAGAATGAAATGGAAAAAAAAAAAAAAACCATCTGGTTGGTTAAAGAAGAGAAAAAAAAAAAGTAAAACAATTTGAAAAAAAATAAAAATCTATATATTAACATATATTATAGACGAAATTCTTTGGCTTATCCAAAGTCGAAAAATGTACTTTAATCCAAGATTTTAAGAAAAATTTTCTTGAAATTTCATTGTCTACAGGTTTAATTCGAGCTCCACTCTCAGTCTTTTATACAAGTTCTATTTCTTCTTTAAAATACTTTTATTCGTACACTTGCGCAATTTATTTAAATGGTTCATTTACTTATGGACATTCCTGCACTATTAGTTATCTTACTCTATAGGAACCTTCCACACATTTCTATTTTAATTTCTAGTCCCTACGTCTAATCTCATTTCCTTAATCTTAACATATTCATTAGAAAGTTGATCTTCCCTAGTTATCATCTTTTGCTTTTCAATTTTGTTCTATTTTCACGTTGTGCTTACTTAATTCATCTAAGAATATCGAAGCGTACTTTTTTAATTATTTCCATCTATTATTAATCATCATTTATCTCATTAACGAATATTTCATCCAATACCTTTTTACTTGCCTACTATTTACCTTTTACCTCTACCTATCAACATTTATAAATCTTCAATGAAATTTCTTACGTCTCGACTTAATGTTGGCCTCCAGTCCAATATTAACATCGAATAAATCAAAGCATTAATCATATCTTATTCCTTTATTAATTTATTGCGTTTCAACTAAATAAATTTAGCTTCGTTTCTATATAGACATTTCAATTTCTGCCTTAATTTGAAATAGTAATAAGGCCCTAATCATCTTTAATATTACATAAGTTTAATTGTTTAATTTTTTCCATCCATGTAATTATCACTTTATCTTATCTCAACTTTTCTTATTTAGTCTAACAAGTTATTTCTAACTTCCTTTAAACCTTATACACTCTAGTTTCTCAGGTTAGCACCAAGCTATCTGGTGTTATCATCTTACACCTCGACTGTAATATTTAGCGGTCTTTCCTTCCTTTTGTTGGCACGCGAAAATTTTTTTTTTTTTTTTTTATTCATTTTATCAATTACCTTACGATTCACTTCACTGGGTTATTTCTTCTCTTTTCTATAAAGATTTCAATTTATACATTTTAATATTTATCGAAGAGCTCGGAGAAATTGTCACATGTTTCAATTGAACTCCAAACATCCCCTAGAGTTGAATAATTGTCTTATGATCTGGCAACTATCCAAAAATTTAAATTTTAAATATCACGTCTCTCTAGTTCTAATGTGTCACAATTCATTATAATCTAAAAGGCATAATACTTCAAATTTCAATTCTTAATGTATCTATCTCTAAGTATCAACGAGATATTAGGTTCTATTTCAATTCATTAATTTAATAGTCTTTAATAGTCTACAACACTAGCTGTCTCATACTGTGAATTTCATCGAATGAGTGTACTAACTAAGAGTTTGTAAGTAATTTCCACATTCTCCTTTATTAATATTCTCAATACACATTATATTCCATCCATTTGATTTGTTAGATTCATCGTTTAATCCAAAATTCTACTAAAAAAAAAAAAAAAAAAAAAAAAAAAGACCAGAAACAAACATTTCTAACATTTACAAGAGCATGAAAAAGAGAAATAAACAAAAATACAACACTAGTCTCATTTCTATTTATTCTTTGGAACCTGAACCTCTTTCTGACCTCTCTCTCTTTCTTTCTCTCTTTTGTCTCTCTTATTTATTTAGCAAAAAAATAAATAAATTATAAAAATAATTAAACATATAATCCACTGACTATATGCTAACTACAATCTCACCTCCATCTGTTCTTGCTTACAGATTTTTGATTCCTCCACCCCAATTCACGGTTGCCGGAATCTGACCCACCACCATCGTTCCACTTTTGCAAAAAGAATAAAAGTTAAACTCTCACCCAGTTGAGCTCATTGATGTAGGTCTATTTGGTACAATTTCATATCCTCCAGCTTCATCATCATCATCATCATCATCATCATTATCTTTATCATCATCATCTTGATGATTTTGATGATCATCACTTTCCAAATCCTCCATAACCGTATCAACTCCATGTTGAGAAGGCGCCGGTGGCCATTGCTGCTCCGGCCGTACCATTAGAGGCACTGAATTTTCCGGCTTCAATTGAATATTTGACGAAGAAGAACCAATGCCATCACAAGTCTTGTGCTTTTCTTTATACAAAGCATCAAGTTGGTGAAAGTATGGACATGTTTTTGAATCTTCAGGCCTTCTCTTGTTACTCTCTTTCACTTTCTTGAAATACTTGTTTATATTTTCCCATTTCTCTTTGCATCTCTTTGCACTTCTATTATACCCGAGCTTTCTCATTCCCGCTGAAATCTCTTCCCATAATGGGCCTTTTGGTCCATTTTCTTGATATTTCGAATCAAGATTTGTCCTTAACTTAATTAAAGCTTGCACTTCTACTCTAGGCCATCTTGATGAACTTGCTTGTGCAAGCGTCTGATCCCCATTATCAGATTTCGTGTCCAGAGTTGTAACCGTCTGTACCAGTGGTGATGTTGATGCAACTGGTGTAATGGGTAACGGTTGTGGTGCTGGTGCTGGTGCTGATGCTGGTGTTGGTGTTGGTATTACTGGTTGCGGTGGTGGTTGAGGTTGTGGATGCGATGGCGGTGGCTGTGGTGGTTGTACTGGTGGTGGAATATTTAGTACTTGGCCTGGATTTTGTTGCTCGGAAAGTTTTTGTAAAAATGCCATCACGGCAGCATCCTTGGCAGCTGCTATTGATCTTTCTTGTGCTAAAATTTCACGTTCTCTATTAATTCTTGCCATTTCTTGCATTCTCCAAGATTCTTCTCTAACAATTCTATCATGTTCGCGTTTCTCAATTGCCTCCAAGAATTTCCTTTGCATATCCTCTTGCTTATGCACCACTTCTTTCATTAGCCTTTCAAAAAAATCCTTCCATTTCCTTTTCCTCTTTCGCCGCCCTTGTAGCTCCACATCCGAGGACGTAGAAGAAGAAGAAGTCGAATTCGAGAAAAGATCCGGTGACAAAGACTGAATAGGGTTTGTTGCTTGCGCAGAGGGTAAGACAGTAGGGTTTGTCGGTTGCACCGAAGGAATTGTTAGATTTATTCCTGTTGTAACAATGCCTTGAAGATGATGATGATGTGATACATGTGTAGCTAATGTGGCAGTTGCTGCCGTGGTGGTCGTACCCGTCGCTATTGATGTCGATGGAACAGTAGAAAGAGTATGAGGATGATTAACGATTGGCATTGCTATTGTTGTTACCGCCGGAGCTTGAGGCTTCGGCTGTGGTGGCTGTGACGGCGGCTGTGGCTGTGGCTGCGGTTGGGATGAAGAAAATGAGAGAGGATGATGTTCAAATGCTTCTAATTGATCGAAAAATCTATACGTCTTTCCTTCTTGTTTACCAGTTCGGCTTTCTTTGGTTCTCTTGTGATACTTATAAACGTTTTCGAATTTCTCTTTGCATTTCTTTGCGCTTCGATTATAACCAAGCTCTGCTAACTTCCTGCAATCACCAGTTTCCAACAAAAGAAAAAAACTCTTTGTATCCCATCTGAAATAAATAAAATTCAATACTAAAAACAAGAAGTCACACATAAAATACACATTTACAGCAATAAACACCATCCAAGATTAAGATTAAAACAAGAAACAGCTAATTAACTTAATTAAATAATTGGATCAACTAATACAAATCCATTATTGTTTAGAATTATGGAAAGAAATGTATAATTGAGCATTTGAATTGTGTCTGAATTAATTAATGAAACAAAAACCCACATAATAAAAATGAAAAGATTTTCAATTTATCCTACTAAAATGGAACTTAGAAAAGAAAAAGGAAAATTAAGTTTGATTAAAGCAAAAGGGAATGTTCTCATAGTCAGAAATTACTGAAAATAAAAAGAGAAAAAGAGTGTAATCTCTTTGTGAAGAGTGTATAAATTGTAAAACGGCTAAAAGAAAAAACAAGCCGAAAAAGGAAAGAAAAGAAAATTATAGAGAGATTGCAGTTGCAGTTGCAGATCTCCACCAAAAGAAACGAAACCCAAATCAAAATCAACAAAAAGAAAGTTTAACAATAATCACCTGGAAACCTCTTCCCATAAAGGACCCTTTACACTGGCATCGCGAAACGACACGTCCATATCGGACCTTATTTTCAAAAGAGCCAAAGTTTCTTGTCTAGGCCACCGGTTACCACCAAAGCTCCGGTCACCATCATCACCACCACCAACACCAACACCGCCGCCGTTTCCTCCTTTATCTTCATCACCTGAATTATTAGAACCCACATGACCAACTTCGCTAGCAGTGTTAATTTCACCACCACCACCACCACCACCAGTGAGTAGCTGGTTAAGATGAGGAGGAGGAGCTTCACCGCTGCTTCCACCACCAGCACCACCACCACCACCAGCAGTAGCAGCAGCGGCGGCTGTTGTGGTTGCTAGCACACTACTACTTGAGTCCCCTAGCATAGGACGCCCTTTTCTTGCTTTCTCTTTCTTTCTTTTCTGTCTGTCTCTCTCTCTTTCTTTCTTACAGTTCTGTTCCAAAAAAAAAAAATTATAAGAAAGAAAAATAAAAATATATCAATCGAAGCAAAAGAGAAGGTGAATTCTCTCGAGGGTTTTAAGAAGAAAGCTCGTATGGTGAATTTATTAATTTATTTCGATGGGATCTGCTTGTCAATCTCAAGAAGTTGATTCGTTTTCTTTTTATAATTACTTTTCTAGTAATTTATTTATTTTCTTGCTTTACTTCTTTTAGCTGTGGAATCTTTTGGGTTTTTTTTTTTTCCTTTTTTTTTATAATTATTATTATTATTATTTTCCATTATGATTATGATTATTATATTTTGCTGTTTGGGTAGGGTTGGCTAGTTGAAAAGCATAGTAAGAGGTGTCACTTGCTTCCTTACAGTAAATAAATTAAAAATAATAAAATTAAGTGGCACAGAAAGATATAAAAGTAAAAAAATAAATATTGTATTTAGTGTTTTCTTTTTTATTTTGACACATATTTTTACACTCAGATTTTGTAATTAAATATTACTCCAACATGTAAATCCGGAAAATATCCAACAGCTAATGATTTATTAAATAAACATTTAATTAATTCTATCTTTTATATTTAACACGTATTTTTACACTCGGATATGAAGATTTTGTAATTAAAATTTACCCGAAAATATAATTCGAAAAAAATCCAACTAATGATTTATTATATAAATAATTAATTAATATTATTTTTTATATTTTTACGTGTATTTTTACATTCAATATATGGATTTATAATTAAAATTCGCCTCAATATGTAAATCTGGAAAAAATCCAATAGCTAATGAATTATTATATGAACATAATTGATACTATTTTTTATATTTTGACACACGTATTTTTACGCTCAAATACGTAGCTTTCATAATTAAAATTCGGCTTAAAAATGAAATCCAGAAAAATCCAACAGCTAATGATTTTTACATAAATAGTAAATTAATATTATTTTTTAGAAAAATATTATTACAAAAAAAGAAAATAAATATTTCAGGAAATTATGAACAGCTGCACATAGAGACGATGGTGATAATTAAGTAGGTTTTTGTCTGTCCAGCTAAATTGAGTTAAAAGCCGGCCCACGTAGGTCAGCTTTATTTCTTTTTTTTATTTTTTTATCTTTATAATTTATAATTATTTTTTTATTTATACCATTTGGGGGGTGAAGATGAATATCAACTTTGCTTTTAGGGTGTGATTTGGGATTCTGAGAAGGGTTGGATACATGTGGGTTTGAAAATACTTAAATACCCCTAACATGGATCACATTGACCTTTAATCATTGAAGCTAAATTTTACAATTTTTTAATTGATCACCTCACTTGATATCTGATCTGGGTTTGTCTCTGTAATTTCCAATTTTTTATTGTTGAGGGATATTATACTCTGTAATCCCAAAATTGCCCTATTGATTATTTAAATTGTTTCTTTTTTAAACATGAGGAAAGGAGATTTTATTTGAATTTTTATACCTCGTTTGCTTGGATGAATGGACTGTGAAATTCATTCATTTTATAAATTTATAAATTTTAAGGAATTTAATATTTATATAACTTCAAATTTTATCGGTTGGTTGGAAATTAACAGTTATGAATTTAAAAAATAAAATTTACCTGTATTTCTACATTTATTAAAATAAAGGTCTTCTAATGGTGGCAATTCTAAATTTCAATTTCTTAACCTAATATGTAAAGTTCACTTGAAATGCAATTTATTTTTACTAATTTAACCGTTTATTGATATTTAAAAGTTATTTTTGAAATAAAACAAGTGATTATGGAATTTAAAAATCAAACTTAAATTTCTCTATGAAGTAATGAAATCAAGATTGAATGAGAAAATTTATTAATTTGATGAAGGTGACTTATATGTTTATTAATTAAATAGTAAAATATTTAAATTTCATTCTTCAAATTTTATCAATCCAAATCGGTTCCAAAATTTCCGATGATACATGCTTTTTTTGGCATCAGATACTATGTATAAAGAATATTATACACATCACTATCGGCAATAACAAGAATTCAAATTACAATGAATCAATATAATGATCGGAATTGAACTTGAAACCTTTTTGAATCTCAAAAAGACATTACTCTTTATCACTAGGTTAGGAGATTATTTACTTATTACTTGACTATTCATGTGGTTAAAATTCTATATATTGGTAGTAATCACTTGATTTTATTTCAAAAATATCTTTTAGATATCAATGGAAAGTTAAATTAGTAAAAGTGAATTGCATCCCAAACAAACTTCACATACTAGGTTAAAAATCAAAGTTAGATTTCTCTATATTTAAGGTAATGAAATCAAGATTGTATGACACAATTTATTAATTTGATGAAGATGACTTGTATTTTTATCAATAAAACAGTAAAATATTTAAATTTCGTACCTCAAATTTTACCAGTCCAAATCGATTCCAAAAATATCTAATGATACATGCTTTTTTAGCCATCAAATACTATATATAAAAGATATTATAAACTCGATTCAAATTATAATTAATTAATATAATGATCAGAATTGAACTTGAAACCTTTTTAAATATCAGGAGATCACCTTTAAGATATTATTTACTTATCACCTGATTATTCATGTGGTTAATATTATATACATTTAATATTGTTATTGTAGCCGTTTCGGTTGGATGAGACAATGGGTATAGCAGTATATATAATATATAAATGTAGTGCTTGTGTTGCAATGGGCCTACAGTGACTATGACAAATGTAGTTTGACAAAATTTGATTTTTCATAATTGAGCAAAGAAAATTTGCCATAAACTTATCTTAAAAAGGACATTTTAAAGTGGGATCCACTGTTGAATTATACTAGTTAGATGTAGGTCATGTTATTAGGCCAAGCCATTTATGAAATGAAGTAAATGGTGGGCAATTCAGTTAGGGTAGCAACCTACCATAATAAATGGAGATCAACATTTTTTAATGGCTGTGATCTTCTAATCATGGATTATTAGAATCTTATTGGACTAATATTTTTTAGGGCCATTGACCATATAGCTTGTAATTAATAGGATGTTTCTCTAATTTTGTCCTTCTAATCTGTCTTTTGTTTTGCCCATACAATTTTGGTGTGAATAATTAGTACTAATCAGATAATAATAATAATAATATACTTAATTCTCTTTTTTAAAAAAATTACAGTATTATTTTTTTTCATTTATTAGATTTTTATAGGTGCACTTGCAGTTGAAAATGACTTCTTATAGATCTTGTGGTTGAGAGCTGTATATATATATATATATTTTTTAAATTATATTTCTATTTACATATAGTTAATGTTATTTGAATTTCACCACAAGATTAAAATAATAAAATTACTTTTTTCCATCTACTTTTATTTGTCATTTTTCACAAATTATGTTTGTCCTTATTTTTACTTAACATAATAACTATTATAACTCTTTTTATTACCTCAATCTTACTTTATTTTAATAATTGAGAGCAGAGTAATTAACGATAAAAAATAATTTTAGATAAATTAAAATTTTATTTTATTATAATTTAAAACGATAAAAAAAATAAACGGAGGGAGTATCAAGTAGTTATCTTCATGACTTTTTCCATCAATAAATGTTATGAGTCAAACCCAAAAGTCTTATTTGTGGCAAAATAGGAAAAATCACCAAGAAATTTTGGGGAATTGAAATTAAAAAAAAAAAAATTTAATTTTACATTTGTGTGCAATCAAATACTGATCAATCTCAATTATTGAATCAAAATACCAAGTGGATTGCCCAACAAATAATGCAAAAGGAGTGGACCCCAACTAATCAATAGGCCATTAAATGGACAAATAATCTGAAAGAGATAAATTTTTGTAAAATGTATATTATTAATACTATGATTTGGTACAATAATATTTGAGAGTAAAATGACATTTTTAATAAATTGTGATTATAGGGATAAGTGAAGGGCAAATGAGTAAAATGAGAAAGGACATAGGTAGTGTAATAAGGTAGGTAAACATCAAAAATAATTGGCAAGGGTTTATTTCTATCTTGGATACATCCTAATTGATGATGAATTACAAGAAAGAAGATCAATCACATCTCTAACAAAACACAAATGCATGACCTATTTTCACAATTCACATTGCCTTTCTATACTTTCAATTATTATTATTATTATTATTAGATTGGACAGCCTTCAATTAATTGAGTTAGTAACTAAAAAATTTTATATATCGTGAAGGCGGGATTATTAATTATAGAGATAATCCTTTTAGTCAACAAAATTAGTTTTCTCCATGACCTAATATGATAGAAACAAGAGTTGCTCAACTTTTTTTTTTTTTTTTACATAGTGAAATTTTTAAATTTTACCTCTCAAAAATAGTGAACTTTCATTTCTGGATTGACTACTGATAAAAATCATATTCCATTTATGGTCACGACGATAAGAATTAAAAGAAAAAAAAATAGAATTATACTTATAATATATGTAAATCAATCATTGAATCAAAAAGAACCAAAAAATATTATTATTATTATTCTTGATTTAATACATAAGTAAAAAAGGATTTTAATTGATGACCCAAAAGTCAAAATTTGAGGCTAATAGAATTGGGAATTTTAATTTATTTTATGCTTTAACGGAACATCATATCATGCTTACCACAAGAAAGATAAATAAAAAAATAATAAAAAGAGTATACGCATGGGATGGGAGCTTTGTTCTTCTTTCTTTCCTCTACATTATTTATTGCGTATAAAAGTATTATTATTATTATTATTATTATTATTTTGTTGGGTGGGGGTAATTATTTATAAAAATAAAAAATAAAAAATAAAAACAGAATTTGCTTCTTTTACAAGGCATGTAATTTACTGGTTTTTGTTGTTTAATAATTGCTTCGCTGGCAAGAACTTTGGTTTCTCTAGCTGGAATGGAAGGGATAGACATTAGATTAAAGATTAGATGCCTTTGTACTTCTCCTCTAGCTGGATTTTATATATAATATATAATATAACCTTATATATATATAATTCATATATATTCCACTAGCTGTACATACCCACTACTATTTACACCCCAACACCAAAAACACAACCGTAATTTCTATTTTCTTTTTATTTTTTCTTTTTCTATTGCATTCAATGAA